TCAATACATCACAGGACTCGATTTTGTGCTTCAACTGATCGGAGAGTATATCCTTCTCATTCTCAAGGTTTCTTATAACACAAGTTAACTCTGTGTTGATTGCGAGTGCGTCGTCCAGCTTTGATTGTAATTCACTCTTCTCAGCATATGCTTCGCGGAATTTCGCATCTGTCGACTGGAGCAGACTGTCATATTCAGATGTTTGCTCTTTGAATGCAGAACACTTATGCTGCAGTTCCTCCAGAGTTTGACTATATTCCTTTATCTTGGTTTCTAAAAACAATATATATGATTCATGGATTATCACCTTGCTCAGCCTCCAAACTTTCTATTTTTTCCTTGTTGATCGTGACATCATTCTGCAGCGAATCGAAAGCAATAACAAGTTTTTCCAAAACACTTTCGTCAATCAGGTGGACCTCGTCCTCCGATAACCCAACAAACGCTTTTAGAGCATCCATGGAGTATCGGTGATGACGGCGCAGTCTACAAAGAAATGGGGACTTCGCTGGGCAATCCACCAGGTCAGATCAGGGCAACCAAACAGCAAATCCATAGCTAAGCACGTTGTCTTTTACAGATGAAATAATGTTGAAACCATTGCAATGCAAAATAAAGAATGTAGCTGTATAAACATTTAGCGTTTGAACGCGCCAAAATTAGGAACCGATGAAAAAACCCTGACCTTGAAACCTCGTGCGGTACATTCAAAATTTGATCCTGTAACGTACAGCCGTAGCGCGGCCATTTTGGTTTGACTGTGAGTCGTGTACATGTCTCACTGGACCTTTGGTTCATGTTGGTTTGTTTTCTGTACATTGCAGATTGATCGTAAAGGCCCTCTTGGACGTGGTTTGTTTCGTATCTATTTTTTGCGTTAACTCTTAGATTTAGCCTGGATTTAAGGAATCTTTTTGACACTGCAGGTGTTGCTATAGCCTTCTAGTGTTTTAGTAGTCACTATCTTTAGCTGTAACTATTGTGGTGTTATTCTGTAGTTTTCTGGTAATTATCCTCGGTATGGGTGGTCGCATTCTAAGAAGTCACATCACCGGTATACCAACAACCAGGAGTAGCGCTGCTAAAAGTCTGGATAAAGCGAGGAATGCACCTCAGTCCACGGAGTACCCATGTGGTATTGCTAGCTGCTCAACCGTTGTCAGGGAGGGCATCTGCTGAGACAGCTGTGCGAAGTGGTACCATCAGGCTTGCAGTGGCCTTAAAAACAAGGCGTTGACACTCTACACAGAACACAATGTGCTCAAGTGAGTTTGCAAGGGGTGCAATAAGGTACTCACGACGGCTGCAAGACAGCCGAGTACTTCAACTAACACCACATGTAACACCACATGTAGTAGCTCAGATTCTGGACGAAGGGATACGACGGTGATAAGCCGATACCAAGGATGGAGAAACTACGAAAAGACTCGCAAGGACGTCGGTAGGACTGACACACTGAAAGAGAAAATCGAAGAGCGAGACCAGGCAACAAGAGGGACACTTGGAGGGTAAGCGCGCAGCATCCAAACGCGGCTTGAATCAAAAGTTCAAGGTCATTTGATCGATCCCCATTCTCCAATCCAAGGAAAAAAATCCCAACTGCGGACCATTGTCGCTCCAAAAATATTTCGCTTATTACAGATACTAAATATAACGCGGAGATCACTAAGACAGCCAAAAACCGAAATAATTAGAGGGAAATAAAATTGCTTTAAAAATAATTACTATTCGTTATTATAAGTGCACGAGTTCTCGTGAGGGATATTTACCCATAATAAATCGTTAGGAATTCCACACAGCATCCACATAACTGTAAAAAGCTATTCTAAATACTATTCTGAAACTTTCAGCCTAAGATCATCGACGAATACGAAATAAAACTAACTTTTTGTCAGCTTTCGAAGTGTCCCACAGTGAAATTTTAAGACCAGCTAAACTCCATCAATAAGAACTGCACCTTCCATATAACTGTCAAAAGCTATTCTAAATACTATTCTGAAACTTTCAGCCTAAGATCATCGAAGAACAAATAAAACTGACTGATTATCACGATGGTGTCTGTGATTTCTTCGTCAGCCTGAAGCTCTCCAAATCGCGTCCCCGTGGTCTATTGCGCCAATTTTCTCACACCCACGGTTCATTCCTCCTTACAATTGGCTCGACAACGAAGTATGCAATGCCTCCACAAAATCGGATCTCAAGTGGAATCTATACCAATATCTTGGTCCCTGAACGTAATTCATAATTCCAAGACAAATTAATCAAATTGGCGTGGCAACTTTAGGCTTTTGACTTCCACGCCCATCGACTGAGGCAATGCAGACAAACGTATGCTTCCCCTCCATTGAAAGCAGCGCAACTGCTGTGCGTTCGGCGCCCGCATTTCTGGCACTGGATCCATTGCTGCTCATCGTCTAAATCGACCGTATTCCATGCAGATTTGCACGCACTGCAACAGTTGGCCTTCATCGGTGATGCCGGATTGGTTTGCCTTCTCGTTTAGCGTCCAGTTTGTACTTCGCTGATGTCGTTGTTGTCAGTCTTCGGAACACGGCATGTTCCAGTGGGTCGCCTATGACTATTTCGTCGTCCTCACTGTCGACTGATCGGCTCACTAAAACTGATTTCCGCTTGTCAATCGAACCGTTTGTTGAAGCTACAGGTG